ATTAAACTTAAAGAGATGAAAGTAGACAAATAAGTATGATGAGTAGTTTAGGGGCACAAGACCAATAGTATGACTAACTTAATTGTAAGTACTATTTAAAGAGAAGACCACGAGTACACAAAGTTCCCACCGCGAAACCAAAAGTAGGAGGGGATTGAGAAGAGACAGAAAAAAAGAAAAGTTTGAGACAGAGGACAGGGAGACAGACTCTCTCTCTCGTCGGTCTCTCGGTCTCTCTCCGGTCGTCACGAAAAGGGTAAAAATACATACGGAAAAAAAAGTTAAAAAAAGCAAGATAAAAAAGTTTTTAACACATCAGGTGAAGTGAAAAAAATGTCTCTGTGCGGGGGACCAGGAAAGAAAAAAAAGTGAGAAAAATGGGTCGGTACCAAAAAAGAGGGTTCTGCAAGTACATAAAAAAGTACAGATACTCAGGTCAGAAAAAAAAGGGAGAGGAAAAAAGAAAGTAAGCAGAAAAGAGAATAGGAAAAAGAGAGATCAGTAAAAAGGAAAAAGAAGGAGGTTAAGAAAAAAGAGAAAGAAGAGTTTTTTCACAAGAGAAAAAGAAGGTAAAGGGAAAAAAAAGGAGAAAGTTAAAAAGGAAAAAGGGTTCGAAAAATGAGAGGCAAACGTGGGTGGGGAAAGAAAAAAATCGAAGAAAAAAAGAAAGGTTTGGGGGAAACGAGGAAAAAAAAGGAATAGGCGTTCTTGCTCCTGGGAGTAGGAGGTAAAGAAGAAGGGTGAATAAAGAAAAAAGTAGTGAAATGAATGGAAGGAATAAAGTTGGGGGTGGGGGAGTGGAAGAGGGTTAAAGGGAAAGAAGAGGAAAGGGAGAGTTGAGGAGTAAAGGGAGAAAAAGCAAAAAAAGGGGTGAACAACAGTAAAGACACGAGAATAAGATAAGGATTTACGGAATGGGTGGAGTGAGAAGAGGAAAGGCAAAGAGGATAATGTGAAGGAAGGAGGGGAGAATAGTGGGAAAGAAAGATGTAAGTAAGGTAAAAAAAAAGTAGGGAAAGGGTAAAAAGGTGAAAAGATAGGGAAAAAAACAGTCATGAAAAGAATCATACACATCAATCTCAGGGATAATCTCGGAACTCACATGCACTCGCTACAACTCTTCATCACTACTGAGCTCTCATCTCTCGTCTCTCGAATACTCATCTCGTTCCTCGTCAGATAAAAATCAATATGCAATAAGATCTTCTCTCATCTATATAATAAAGTATGAATGAGAGGTAGTAGTAAAAAAGGGAAAAGAAAAAAAAAAAAAAAAAAGAAGAAAGAAGGAAGAAAAGAGTAATAAAAAAAGATAAGTGGTAATAGGTATAGAAAAAAAAGAAAAGAAAGGGGGGGAAGGAAGAAAAAAAGCGAAAGAGAGGAAAATTTAGAATAACCAAGGGGGAATTCTGGGCGAAAAAATAAAGAAAAAACCCCTTTTGTCCCCCACACACCCACCACAAAAATATCACCCCATCACCATTAAGATAAAAATCTAGAAGTTACAAATGTAAAACTAAAAAAGTATATAGCACACATACATCACCTCTTTTGAGAGAGAAGAGAAGAAAAAAGAGAGAGGAGAAGAGGAAGAAAAAAGACAAGAGGAGGAGAGCGCGAAGAGCGAGAATAAAGGACCCTAAATACTAATGATTTCACCTAGAAGGAAGAAAGAACATCAAGAGAACATGGCGCGTCGGAGTAACCATCCACAGACACACACACAATCTAACGTACCCTCTACGCTTCTTCCTTTCTTTTTTCTCTACCGCGCGCTTTCCCGCGTTCTTTCTTAATATATTAAGAGAGAAACGCTTACATTTCTGACCTTTGGATGTGGTTGAGGCAGGGTGGTAGCTGTGAACCGTTTCCATTAGTTTCCCATCTTCCTCTTCCCGCGGTTCCGGAAATGTCCACTTGTGGCTGATCACCTGCACTTGGCCATCATCCGCTTTCTTCACTTCGATCTTCTCGAAGTTCCAGAACTCTAGAGGCTTCACTCTTACCCTCCCACTCCGGCGGCTTATATCTGTGGCTTGAGGGGTGAAAAACGAGTGAAGATATGAGGGTTTTAAGTTGATTTTCATATCGACCGTTAAAACAGAACGTAAATTTCAACACAATCTCATGCAGTACTCTTCTTGCTCTTCCTCTCTCTCTATCTATATAGATAAAGGTACTGACACCATTACAACATTGCACACCATAGGCCTCTATGTATACCAATATGTATATATTTATAGGCTTATATATACACATATCTATCTATCTACATCTATCTAAATCTATATCTTTATACATATACAAATAAATATAATAATCTTAAGAATATATAATAACATTATACATATCATACATATATATATATATGATAATATATATATATATATATAATATATATAACNTCGTTCTGACCGTGAGAGAGAGGGAAAGAGGGAGGTGGGAGGGAGAGAGGTTGAGAGAAGGAAGGAGAGAGGGAGGGAGGGATGGAGAGAGAGAAAGAGAGAGAGGGAGGGAGCAAGAGAGAAAGGGAGGGAATGAGAGAGAGAAGGGGGAGAAAGATAGATAGATATATAGACAGATAGATAGAGAGAGAGAGGGAGAGAGGGTGAAAGAGGGAGAGAGGCGAAAGAGGGAGAGAGGGCGAAAGAGGGAGATAGGGGGAGAGGGCGAAAGAGGGAGAGAGAGAGAGAGAAAGAGAGAGGGGGAAGGGATGGAGGAGGGAGCAAGAGAGAGAAGGAAGGAAGGAGAGAGAGAGGGAGAGAGAAAGATAGAGCGAGAGAGAGAGAGAGAGATAGAGAGAGGAGGGAGAGAGAGAAAGATAGATAGACAGATAGATAGATAGAGAGAGAGGGAGGGAGAGAATGAGAGAGAGAGAGAGAGAGAAAGACAGATAGATGTGTATATATATATATATATATATATATATATATATATATATATATATAAGATAGAGAGAGAGAGAGAGAGAGAGAGAGAGAGAGAGGAGAGAGAGAGAGAGAGAGAGAGAGAGAGAGAGAGTGGGGGGGGGGAGTGAAGGAGGGAGATTTTATCTTTGTCATGCTGCTTTCACACTGTTACATTTCCGTTTGTCGCTTGTTCCTGTTTCTTCTTCTTCACCCAAACTTTCCCTTTCCTTCACGTCCCTAGCTTCTTCCTCCTTCTTATCCTCATCCTCCTGTTCTTCTCCATCTTCTTCCTTTTCCTCCTCTTCCTCCCCTCCTCATTTTCCTCCACCTCCTCTTCTTCTTCTTCCTCCTCCTTCTCCTCCTCACCCTCCTCCTCTTCCTTCTTCTTCTTCTACGTCTTCTTATTATTATTATTCCTTTTCTTCTTCTTCTTCTTCTTCTTCTTCTTCTCATCCTCCTCATCCTCCCATCCTCCTTCTCCCCCTCCTCATCCTGTTGCCCCATCCTTCTCCTTCCCCCCCCCTCCTGTTCTTCTGCCTCCTCTTGCTCTTCATCCTCCTCTTCATCATAATCATCCTTCTTCTCTCCCTCCTCCAGGCAGGATCATCTATTCACTCGTAATGTTTTCAAAATCTAGAATAATAAATACATATCAAATAATACGCATTTCCTTCCCTCTGAATGTCTGAATATCACAGGCAACGCTTCTATGGTCAAGGCTTTTTGGTGAAGATGTGCAGTGTCCTTTCCGTTGCGTAGCCTGTGGTCCTGCGCTCCGGACTGCCCTTGTTGCTGCTCCTCCAGCGTCGCGAGAGAGGTCTTCACATCTATCGTGGCTTAAATCTATTTCTGCGTTATTATTATGTTTTGAACTCTGTTACCTTTGACCTATTTCGTCTCGCAGGTTGAGTGATTAGCCATCGACTTGACTGAGTGATTTTTATTAGTCTATTGTTTGAATGACGATGATTAAGGAGTGATTGCGTCTAAAGGTGTGAATTGATGATAATGAATTGGTAATGATGAAGCAGTCATAAGAATATGGAATATAATGTACATTCTATACTTAATGCAACGGCGTCCCACCTATGTTCGCCCAAGAAAATCAGAATTTGGGAGAAGCGTCTTTCGTGAGCCGTAAAGATTACTTAACTGGCCTTAGACAGACGATGTACCTCCCGCTTTACTTGTCAGAACATGAAGGCCACAGCAGGCACACTCAGTAGAACACCTGTTATTCTAAGCAAAAAGGCAGAAACATGGCAGCGCGTGGGCCTGCAATAACGGACAAGGAAAATTACCATCAGGCCCAAAGAAGCCGAAGTACATCGCCTACATCTGCGAGAAAGCGTCCCTCCCAAGCCCTCTCGGAGAGCCGCGGTGCCTCCCCGGGACATTTACAGATGGCGGATCACGCCAAGTGGAGAGAGAGAGAAAGAGAGAGAGAGAGAGAGAGAGAGAGAGAGAGAGAGAGAGAGAGAGAGAGAGAGAGAGAGAGGAGAGAGAGAGAGAGAGAGAGAGAGAGAGAGAGAGAGAAGAGGAGGGAAAGAGAACAGTTGTAGTTCGCTGCCATATAATTCACCTTTCCATATATAGGAACTGCAATCGGAAGAGGCGAAGAAACCAACTCAACTCAGAAGGAAAAATACTCGAGGAATGACATAAGTCGTTGTGTCGAAACAAAAATGTCGGTTCGTTTAAACACTATATTTTCTTTGTTCTAGTGTGTGTGTTAGCTTGTGTGCATGAGGGTAATTTAACGATAACCAAGGGTGGGGATCACCAACCCGCTGGACGCACACTAAATCCCTTGAGCAAGGATTCCCGGCTTCCCTTATCACAGCGCAGGGCGGCCAGACACCAGCAGACCCTTGCCGGCCCCACGATCCCGGCTGACACCTGAGTGACGCAATCCGGGCGACGCCTGGGAGCAGCGCCCGACAGGTGAAGCCGAAGCGGAGCCCACCCTGGCAGCCCGTGTCCGGCAGGAGTCACCGAGCCTCGTAGGTGGGCTCGGGGGCCGTGGGACGCCGGCGATTTCGCCAGGTACAGGCGCGTCCGCGTGCGACTCCGCCGCGCTGCGTCAGTCAT